CAATTCAAGAATCTTAATGTAACAGATATACACCCTCAGATTGTGCGAAATTTGGGGAATTTCAACACTATTCTCCACGATGGGCTTGAGCCAGAGGGGCCTGATATTGTGCAGACCTTTAGGAGCATCCTATTTCTCAATGGATTTTATAATAGGGTTCACAACATATATTCGCCCCTTTTGCTGCACTCTTCTTGGAAAATGTGTCGCTGGGAAGATCATCCAATTTTGGGGGAATATCTTCTCGAGCTTGTGGAAACTTCACAATATTTGCCTAACCTGGATTTCAATTGTGACATCACCCTAGGCACTCAGTATTTTAAATCAAAAGGTCCACTAGACCAGGGTAAGACACAATCACTGTCCTTGAGTTCACCAAGCTAATGTCTAGCCAGCCAGATGGTCCTATGCTCTTGGAATGTACTTCCGGGGGGCAAAATCAAATTTTACAAAAGCCCTCAAGTATTTCCAAAGAGCCTATTCTCTGGCAGAAAGTATTGGATACCCCACGATTGTTGGAATCCATGCTTTGGTCGGCATATGCAATGTCTTTTTTCTTACCGGAAAGCCCTTGAGTGCACTCACACATGCCAAGGAGGCATATCGATATGCGGAGCACATAGGGGATATTTATCTACAAGCATGGTCTCTCTATGTTCAAGCCAGATGTCACGCAACATTGGCAAACTATCGGCATGCTCAGCATCTTCTGCAAAATTGCAGAGACTTGCTGACTGCTTGTGGCACCCAACAAAGTGTCTTAGGATTTAACATCTTAAATGAGCAGGCAGAAATGCACCTTGTGAAATCCAAGTATCTGGAATCTCGCAAAGTTCAAGTAGCCATTGCATCCAGCTGCCGGCCCATTTCATTCACTGCCATCCTGGCAAATTTGAATATTGCTAGCATTGATCTGGCTAGTTGTGCTGAAATAAAAAATATTCGCGAAAATCTAGACAGCTGTCAGTCTTATTTGAAGGCAATATATGGGTTTCAGGGCAAACTCTTAAGCCTTATAGCCGATCACACAGCTGCGGAGATCTGCCTGCAGGAAGGGGACCATGTGATAGCAAATTCAATGTTCAAAAATTTTGTCACCTCTTCTCAGAAGATCTCATCAGCAGATACAGCACTCCAAGGTCTTTCAAGACTTTCAGATCTTTCCACAGAGATGAATTGCATCTCATCTACACTCCGATGGGCAGGAGTATTTCTTAGCCTGGCTCTAAATTGCAAAGACAAGCTTCAGACAATGCAAGCATTCCGCTGCCTTGGCCAGATTTTTTCCGCCAAAGGTGATGATGATACTGCGCTCAGCCTATTCAATGTTGCTCTTGATGGCTTTACATTCATGGAGGTCCACCGCTGGCAGGCAGATTGCATGGTTCGCATAGCTAATATCCTGCAGGATTGTGGAGAAGTAATGAAGGCAGTTGAATTGTGGAAGGCAGCAAGGCCTTTGTTCGAAAGATGTTCCCAGATGAAGGATATAACTCGGATTGATGCAAAGCTGGCAGAGGTTGGCTGGGCTGTTTTGGTCAAGTATGAGGAATAACCCCACCACATTTCAGAGTTGAATGTACCTGCTAGTGTACACCCAAATCTTGTCAAGCATGAAGTTAGATGGTCTCAAATTCAGGCTTGCTGAAGGGCACATCACAAGGATCAATTGACTAAAGAATGTGATTTTAGAGACAAGGGGAGGCTAAGAGTCTTAGTTTGAGTTGCAGTCTGGATCTCGAATAATCAGGGTTTGTATTTCAATCTTGTTGTTCTCTCTTCAGCTTTCCACAGCTCCAGCCATTTTCCAGACAAATACATGACCGCCTGTTCTTGGTGTGCACAGCATGCCAGGTCATAATTTGTCCAGTATGTAATCTCTTTATTTATTCATGTATTGTGCAACCACTTCGCTTACTACCAGTTTCGTTGACACACAGATCCGTGATTGGTTGTCGGTCGATTCAGATCTAATTCGGGTCGGGCAAAACCCGACATTCCTTCTATTGTGTTTACATTGAGAAACCATCTAACCGCCCTGTGCACCGCCGCCGCCGCGCCACCCGAGCTCCGAGCGCCCAATTCCGCGCCCTTCTCTTCCAAGGCGACAAGCACGGCAGAGTTTTAATTAGCTCTTTGCTCTCACTGGCATCTCACTGGCGGCGACACGGACTCTTCTGTCTGGGACTAGCGATATATCACTCCACTCTGTGGCAGTCGCTCTATCTCTGTCTCCTGGTGGTTTAGCTATGGTCTTGATACTTGAGAAGGCTTTCTCTGCTCGCAGGACTGACGATGCGTGACTGCAGCTGCTCGATGTTTTATCGGCCTACAAGGCACTTCGTGCGTCCAGGCATAACACCGCCAAAAAAAACTGTGAGCTGCCGGCGCCGCCATCTAGTGCCGCCCATTTGGGGCGTATGCGCAGTACGTGCTCGCTCAAGTGCTCGGGTGCGCTGGTGGCGATGCGAATGCGGTGGACGTGCATCGAGCCGCGCGTTGAAGCTGTCGCCGCCATGGTGTAGTCGCGCATGTACGGGCGGGTGACGAGCGGAGCGGGGTTGGGCAGCGGCGGCGGCGGGGGAGCGGGGTGGGGCAGCGGCGACGGGACAGCAGCGGCGTCGAGGTAGCAGCGGCGGGGCGGGGGCGGGGCGGGGGCGGGGCGGCGGCGGCGGGGCCGGGGGCGGGGGTGGAGCGAGGGGAAACAGGCATAGTAGAACACGAATAGCATGTGGCTGTATAGAATCCAATACAGAGCGGTAATATTTTTCAAAAATGTATTGAGATTCTCAAATCCGTACTAAGTGTGGCATAGCATGGTATAGAGCTGTATAATGTTTTGGATTCTTTAGATAACACAATGACACTCAATGTGGCTTGATACTCAGCAATACGGGATTCTCACTGGGGGCACTCAACATCTGCATCCAGAATATCTGCTAGGAAATAGCAGTCTTCTGTGAAAATGCCGCTATGACAATCCCGGTTCTGTGCGGGTTAAACTCACTTTGAATATCTCCTAACCGTCTCTGGCGGATGAAATTATCCGCACGATCCCAAATATCGGCATTTCGGCAGCTGAAAACCTTGTCCGATATACATAAGCTTTTTTAGGGCAAAAATTGGGAGTTGGGGCAGGACAACCCTTGGCGGGAGCTTCACGGGCCTCGACCAGTATGGCTTGAGAACGGGCCAATTCTCACAGAGTGGGCCTTCCAGATCCACGGGGCGTTATTTCCTTGGATGTCTCGGGTGATAATCAGATTCTGCGCTCTGGAGGACTCTGGCGCGTTTTGCAGGCTCACTCTTCTGCGATAAATGCAACGCCTTAGATACCCACCTTGCCTTGACTTCCTTTGGTCGAGGGAAGTATTTCCCCCATTTGCTTCGTCGATGTAATACCCTTCAAATGTCTCAAACCTGACGACGGACAAAGGGCAGCACAAATATCCAGTCGACCACATCTTACAGGCTCCATAGCGTTTGTAATCGATGCAGGCAGCGGACGGTGGCTCTTTTTGTTCCTTCTTGTCTTTATTCAAGTGACTCCGTGGCCTCGAACTCTCCGCTTTTCCCTGCGTGCAATCAGCATCATCCAATTTTTTTACTGCCCATCATCCCATTCGCAGTCACTTCTGTATCACTTTCAAATCATACATATCGTCCCCGTTAATCTGCGCGTTCGTGTCCCCCGCCTCGCAGCTCCCTAAGCATCTTCTGGTTAGTTATTTCTTCTTTCCTTCATCTTTGGAACTGTTTTTGGTAAGTTATTGGAGAGTATGTAATAATTCAATTAAGCTCAAAGCGGAAATGGGCTTGATGAACGACCTTGGCAGAACCAAAGCGGGCGGTACGACGGAATCGAGCTTAGACCCGGATTACGAGCATCCTATATAGTGTTCGAGACAACAACATTCGAACATTCCAAAACAGAACGATTCCCGCAGGCTGCAAAATCTCTTGTTCCTGACCCTGAGGAACTGGAGGTAAGTACCTCCTGATCACGAATCAGGAACATTATGACATTGACTGGCTGACAGATTACGCTTGTTCTGGTATGTGGCATGGTCGGCGCTCAGATTTTTACACACAGAGTGCGCATTAAACCGTATTTCTACCCACACAAAAGACAACTGAAGCCAACCCACCCAACTCTCCCCCCCTCACTCACCGATGTCCCCCACCAAGCTTACTACTCTTCTCATCCTCGCACTCATCGCCACCGCGGGCGCGCGAGCTCTTGTCAACGCAGAACGTGCACCAGTGGTACGTGCACCCCGATATAATAGATCGACGCATCCCGTATTCACGCGATCTTTTCACGCAGGATCCCGAGGTCCAGATCAGTATGCCTCCGTCTCAAAAATCTCTTCGCTTCCGACCCTGACCGCGGGTTATTCAGGCGAAGTGATCAGCTGGCCGGTGGGGCCCAGTCGCAAGCGGGCGCCGGACGACACAGATGAGGATGAGGTATGTTCTTTGCTTAGTTTGGCTTACTCCGGCACAAATTAATTACGGGGACACTTGCTCCTTCACGCAGCTCGCGAAGGCCGGGGACCGGACCTATACCGGAGGAAGATTTTGAACTCGTGTGCTGTAACGGAATAGCTCTAGTTTTGTTTATTGCGAAGGTGAAACTAGTCCATTTGACCCAACACATTGTTACGAACCTGTGGTGTTTCTCGCGTGATTTTTTGAATGTATTGGTTCAATGCTCAAGTTATGGTGTACGCCTGCTAAATTTGCGCTGTCATTTTCCTCCGTATTTTGCAGGAGATGCCCGTTCGACTCGGGCTTGGCGCATTATTCATTGCAGTATGAAGACTTCTTTCTTCGCCTCTGCGTGCCACCGCTCGCGTGTTATATCAGCTGTATTGGCAGGAGAGTGATATGAAGAGAGTATAAAGAATGTACTGAACCGTTCTCTTTGTTAATCTGAATCGCTAAGCGACCAAAAACATCTAGTACCCTGTACCGCAGCATCGAGAATGAAAGATATCGGTCCAGTGGTGCACTGGTGCACGCTTGTTAATTTTGGGCGGTTCATTCGGACCGTCATCTGCATCAGCAAGAGGCGCCCGTTCGACTCGGGCTGGGACCATGTGGGAGGACTCAAGATTTTATTTATTTTTATTTATTTTTGTGGCACTTGCGTTTGGATCAAGTTGATGAATGGTCGGTGACTAAATCAGTGTATTCATTAAATATCAAGAGCGGACCGTACGAATTTTTAGCCCCATTTGACTCCCCTCAATTTCCGCCACGGAGAAGGGCTACAAGGATATCCGAGTACCGGGATTACTGGGCGCCGGTCTAATGATGCATCGGCGCACGCCTGCTAAATATAATTATTGGCATCTTCACGGCCGTATCAGCTGGAGGCGCCCATTCGACTGGAGTTTGAACCATCATGTAGTATGTGGGATTTTTGTTTTTTTTTCCCCCTAATTTCGTGTGGTGCGTCATCTGGAAATCTCGCGTGAATGATTTAAAAAAATCTAATCTTCTCCTTCGAGAGCCAAATGGCGAAGACCTCCAGGGGACTCGTGGATTATATATATGCGTGCAGGGAACAGCAGATTGGCACTGGCCGACGACTCACGATAGTCGGGAAAAGCCGTGATCGGAACACGTGCACATCCCGATGCCAAACGCGACCAAAGAGCTTCTCTCTGCGACGACACGTTTTTTCGGACTCGCACCCTCGGCATTGATTCTGTGTCCTTTTCATTACTCTTCAGTCCTCGAACGCGGCGCAGCATCAAGCGCGTGATTCGAGCCTGTCCGACTTTTCTGTCCTGCCACCTCTGTACGCCAGCTCCCGTATCGTCGACCTGTCTACAGGCTGCCAGGACCCGCCTTCTCCTATATCTCACCGTGACGTGCATACGATTGACGTACAACTTCGCATTCGCCTTCGCCATCTCACTAGTACTGCCCTCCGGATGACGCGTCGGCAGCAACGGTGCTCAGTGGCGGGTGTCATGCCACCACGTCCGTCTCGCGGGTCGACAGGCTCCCCGTGCCGCGTGTACCAGTGCGTCCGGCCACTCCTCCTCTCCCCTCCTTCCCGGTCTTATACATCCTCCTGGAACCGCTGCGCACCTCCGCCGGGACGGCAGAATGCACCATCCAATCTCATGAGTCATCCAGAATCCAGTACTAGTCTCTGGACTCTGCTAATTTACTAGCGGGGCAGTTGATTGTGACCCGTCTCGTCCGCGACTCGACCCGCCCGCCGCACCTCCCGACCTCTCCCCCGGAATTGCGAAGGCGCACCTCCCGTCTCAGTACGCACGTCCTCCTCCTTGTCCACTCCGCGATGTGTACAACGAAGCCTCATTTCACTTCTACTGAATCCGTGTCCACATCGAGTGGCTGCCTCTCACTATGCTCGCTGCCGCCCCGGATCCCCTTTGCGACAGCCTCGCTCGCTCGTTTGCTCGGCTGCCTATTGAGGCTGCTTGCCCTTATCGTCGCGGGGCCACACTCACTTGCGTTATATGACCCGCCCAGCGTGCGAGGAACCTGAGTGGAATACCACGCTCGCGCAAATGAGCGCCCCGCTCGCTTTGTGCTGCCCATCGCATTTCCGCAATTTGTCTCGGCTGTGGGTGCGCTCACCGAGAGCTTCATTCATACCAGCCGCGCCGCAGATATCGCCCGTGTCCCGGGGGGTACCCCCGCCGCTGCCGCCTCCACGTCAATCTCAGGCGACCACCCAGGGACACCGCTCGCACGTACCTGCGTATCTCCGCGTCCCCCCCCACTATCGCATCTTGGCTTTTTCTTGCGCTGATGCTGGTGCGCCCACGGAGGGAGATACCGCGCTCGCTCGCCACTCACAACACGCACGCCACCACTGCGGCGCACAAATCTCCGCTAGCGTGCAAGCGCGCTAATCGTCCCAGTGGCAGTGAGTTCCTCGTCTTCCCATAACTGTCAGCCCTGCGCATCTCACGGATGCGTCACCGCGGTCACTCCTTCCTGTTTGGTCTGGTAGAACGACCCTGCTTTGTGCGTCTCTGAGATAGTGATTATGTCTCCAGAACTAAACTTTAAATATTATAACTACCCGCGGATTTCAATCATGAACGTAAGATTCAGACACATCAACACGCGAGACGTGGAGAAGTTGTGTATTAGTTCGAACGTTGGTGAGACTTGATTTAGGGGGGAGTGGCTCTGCTCATCCGAGATACCCTCAAATTTTCAAAGTCTGTGCTTAGCTCTCCCGATATTCTGGTTCTGGATATGGAATCTGCCTGGTTCATCATATATACCGCCTCAGACCTCTAGGTGGGAGGGCTACCTATGCAGAAACTCTGGGAGACAGTTGCAATCTGTTCAGCAAGCCGGGATAAACACATTGCACTTTTGGCCGACCTCAATGCGCGTATGGCAGCGCTGCAGGCCTCCTTCGGCGGCGTCGAGTGGGCAAAAATCTGGGAAAGACTTTCCAGTGACAAGGAAGACAATAGTCGTGGCCGCGCTGTTATTCAAGAATTAGATTTGTATAAGCTGTGTATTTTGAACGGAACTTCTCTAGAACGCTCATCACCTGGAAGACTTACTTCATTCCAATTGGCTGGCGAGTCGGTTATTGATTATGGGATAGTGTCAGAGAGTTTATTACCTCTTGTCCACAATTTCCACGTGGAACCCCCAACAATCGATAAAAATGATGACTGGTCAGACCACATGCGTATCTGCATTACTTTCGATGCGACGGTGTTCAAACATATACCAGTTGAGGCAATGCAACGTCCCCAAAGACCAAATTTCCACGGTTCCACAATCATCGATGCAATGTACCAAGCTACCATGGACTCGAAGCAGACTGATGATCAAGCTTTGGACTCGCTCTATGGATTTCCTTTAACAATTACTCGGCCCACCCATATCTACGTTGAAGTTGCCGTGAATGCCCCACTCCATTCCGCTGGGGCAGGAATTTTCTGCGGACCAGGTTCCCCTATGAATTTGTCCTTGAGCGTACCGGGACCAGGCCGCCTAACGGCTGAGAGAGCGCGCCTGTTGGCTGTCCATGAAGCAGTGAAACTAGCTCCGTCGGATACCACTCTCGTTGTCTTTTGCACGTCAAAGATGATCATCCGCCAACTCTGTTATTCTGCAGCTAAAAATATGTCTCTTGGATGGCCTGGGGCCAACCCCGATATCTTCAAGGCACTGGTTAAGCTACTCGCGAACAGGCACGCTCAAACGTGTTTTGTACATGTGGAATCAAAAGCAATAAATTTGAATCAGTCCCAACATGAAGCATATGTACTGGCAAAGCGCGCGACAAAGACCCCTCGTCCGGCGTCATCGTTCCTGGAAATATCGACTGCAAATTCAGATCGGGACTGCAGTGAGCCTCATGGAACGGATCCAGCGAGCAAGAGACGAAAGGTGTACACGTCCCTAGAAGAAACTTCGCCCCCAAAACCGAACCCGTGGAAAACAGATGAGGATTACACTTCCGGAGAGGAGGCGCACGGAGGTCATAGGGGTCGAGCGAAAGTCCACGAACTGCAACTTCTTCACTGCAAGGAGCTCGCGGCTTGCAAGACAGAGTACGATACGTGGCAGTTTATACGCAAGCGGACCGACCCACGCCCAAAGTAGGCCAAAGTGACTGTTCAGGCTTTGTCCGATGACTTCGAGGCACGCTTAAATTACCCGGCAGTTACACCGGTCTCGTTCAACTCGGAACAGCTTGCTTTCAATGCCAGAATGGCAAGCCAGCTTACTCAGAATCCCAGCGATAGTTCACCGCGACAATCGTATACAAGGACTATAACGATCGAGGAAATTGAAGCAATGAAGCTGCACATTAAAACTCACGGGTTCGACACGGCAGTGGGAGTTGATCTCTTTTCCTACGCTGAGTGTCTGGCAATACCCAACGAGAAACTGTTGGAATTCTTCTTGTACTGCCTCAACAACAAAGATGCCCCTCGTCTCTGGCTAATCTCGCCTCTGATTGGGATATTAAAAAAAGACAAAGACGCTGCGGACCCCTCAAGCTATCGACTTATCGCTCTTGAATGCTGCATGCTCAAGATGCTTACCCTGATCATCGACAGGAGGATCCGCGAAGGTGCCGAAGATATCGGTGTCATCCCGGTAACACAAAACGGATTTCAAGCAGAGCTTAGGACAAATGATAATGTCTTTGTGCTGATCTGCCTCATTGACAAAGCAGAGTCGGAACGCAAACCTTTGTATGCTGCTTACTTGGATCTGAAAAATGCCTTCCCCGGAACAGATCGTCCAACATTATGGGTTAAACTTGCAATGATGGGAATCGCTGGCCCAATAATAGAATGGCTGAAGATGCTGTACGGTCGCATCCGGTACTTAGTCCGCCTAGACGGCCGATACGCCGCAGTTTTTCAATCTCTCCTGGGAATTCTCACAGGCAACCCGGGATTCCCGCACCTTTGGAATCTGTTCATGTCTGATTTTTAGCCGGTCATCCAGAAGACATCAAGCTAAATGGTGTGCCAATCACCAATGTCGAACATGCCGACGACATTCTTGCAACATCAGGAGGACCTACGGGCTTCCAGTGTCATCTTACGGGGTCTCAAATATGGGCCAACGACAACGGCTGTGAGACATCGATCACCAAATGTGTTTATCAAATTTTTGGCGCGCGACAAAAATCCTACCCAAGCTTCAGCATGGGGGGGAAAATAATTGAACATGTTCAAAAAGCACCCTACCTGGGTGTCTGGTTCGAAACTGGCACGAAGAACATCTGGAGGGAACAGTATAAAGTCAAGTCAAAAAAAGCGACCAAAATTGGAAATGCATTGCATGGACTCGACCGTTTCGTTGGCTCGTTACCTGTGTGGGAGACGAGGACCTTATACATGGCACGAGTCGACACGCACCTTACATCCGGATGTGATGTATGCCTGGATGTGGATTTGAAAAGCCTCAAGCTACTTGAAAAGGTGCAATGCAGATTTTTACGCCGTATGCTTGGAGTTGGTTCGCGGTGCCTACGAGTCGTGCATTTTTCGGAGACAGGAATCTTGCCAATTAAGTACAGGAGGGTATACTTGGCTCTGAATAATCTGCGCTACCTGC